ACACAGGGATACCACTGGGCGGCGATACAGCAGGGGTTCGAGCAGGATGCTGCCAGGACGGTGTGCATCGAGGTTTGGTTTCGGTACAACGTCGAGGACAAAGAGAATACACGATGCACTTGTCTATCGTGCCCGATCCTATTCTCTCGGTCCATCGAGCTCATCGTGTCGTCCGTTAAACGCCCGTTATTCCTGAATGACCCTACCTTCCATCCTCGTTCGTTTACAACCCAAGGAATCCGGATTCGAATCAACCGGTACTAATTGGCGGTGGTTTCTTTCTAACCCGTACCGATTGTTAGGACGAGTGATTACTGAATTCAATTAGCTGTGCCGCCAGGAAACCTTGAAGAACTACGAGAGCTTAACGATTTTCCGGAATGTGTTTATAAACACAATCGTGTGGCGAACTTAAGCCTTGGGATTAATGAAAGAGAGTATATATGTATATGTTTAAAATTTTGAACAGCACCGTGTTTGACACACTACACGGTAGTTCTAAACGAAATGAGAAAAAAAAAAGAGTGGAAGAAAACAAATTACGCGAGAACTAATGACGCGAATTAGAGAAAAATATTTATACTCGCGATGAGGGAAGGGCAGCACGCGGACGGGTCGCTTCGAAACACAAACCTTTACATTATTTCCACGTACGTACATTAATAAAGAAACACGACTCGTGAAATTTCCTGCTCTCTCGCGAGTCATTAAATTTAAGTACCGCGTCGAGAGGAGTGAAAGGAAAAAAAGAAATGGAGGTAAGCTCGCGAAAGAGAAAACGTGCGACAAGGTGAACATCCACACATAGGGTGTTCTGAATTATATGAAACAAGCCAAAACACAGAATAAGTTTTTTTTAACAATGGAATAACTGTACTTTAAATTTTCCTCTTCGATCTTTTGTAATCTGGTTCAACTGTTTGTATCATCACGTATACACAAAAGGGTTGTACGTGAAAATCTTGGAAGAGTGCGAGAAATTTAAAACGTACGAGGCACACGGTCTGTAGTAGCATGGCAGAAAATGAGAGACGCAAGGAAGACAGCTCGTGTTTTGTTAATAACGATAACAGCCACGGTAATGCATATAAACAGCAAAGGCGTACGGTTTATGGTATAACGGTGAACGCTTTACCGGAGATAAACGGAATACGGTAGTGGGACTCGCGGTGTAACCCCTTTGTGCCGAAAAGCCCCGTAAATACTGGCACGATTATCCCCTGGTGCGATTCATAATGCAGGAAAAACGATGCGCGATTACGCAGTCTACCAGCCAAGCTCAATCTGACTCTACACCACGACCTTCCAATCCGCTTTTTTCCTTCTATCTTTCTCACTTTCTTTGTCCTTTCCTTCTTTTTCCATCCCTTTTTCTCTCGCAACACTTTCACTCTATTTGGCGATCATGGCGAACAAAATGGAACTCGGATTTTCCTCCTTCCAGGAAAATTTGCATCCTTCATTTAACCCTTTCTTGCTCAAGAGAAGAAAAAATAAAGAAACCAGAGGTTTCTCGTGATAATTGTACGAGATTGAGTTCAAGAGAAAATAAAAAATTGTTTATATAGATGAAATTCATTGCTATTCGTCAGTTTTCAATGTTACGACTCGATGATTCCATATATAACGTGCAAAGAATTTCTTCCGTCTATGTCCATCGACGGGAAAGCCCAAAGGGTGAACACGTGTGTCTCACTCCCATAACACATGTACGGTTGTTGAAGTGGTGTGCGTGTTTGAAATTCAGTGAGGTGCGGCAGCAATATTTAACTCAGTCTGAAATTCCTTTTTTTATAGACTTGTAAAACCGTGACAGGCACATGGGACCCGATCCCACCTCCTCCTACAGCCCCATCCTTCAGCCATGTCTCTTCTCCATCCCCTAGTTACCAATCCTCTCCACCCTATCGTATGCTTGTACCATCTGAAACGGTTAGACGGTAGTCCCGTCGTTCTTTCGACCAGCATTTCCATTGCTGGTCCGCTTCCACCCTACTCGAATCCTGCAGCAACTCGTGTACACCCTCCGCGTATACCCCATCGCGCTATACGTACTTCCCCGCGGACAAATGCAAAACTAAAACGCACCAACCCTGTTCTCTGTGTGTAAATATGGTCGGGAAACTACTGCACTGTCGTTGAACGGGGTGAGCATACTTTTTTTCCAAGCTCGAACCACCGTTTTCCTACCCCAACGATTCGCGTTCTGCCCTTCTACGTGAAATAGCTAGCTAGCTGTGTGCAACGCTTTTGCGGCTAGAACCGAACCGGCGATGGGCCGCGGTTGTTTTACTTTTCCGTAAAGGGATGCTAGAAAACTATGGCACATCTGCGCACCTACAATTCCGACTTTTCTGCTTTAACGAAGTAGAGCTCTAATGCTCTACTTACATGCCTTTGCAATCCGATTCTAGGACGTGCATGTACGTGTAATTTTCTGTTGTCTATACTCGAATGCAATGGAAGCTACTGTTAATTAAAGAGTGTAACAATATTTCCTGGATAATATTTAATTATACACGAAGCCGTTTGATTACATTACTATATTGGTGATAATATTAAATTAATTATCTTTTCATTCTTTTTTATTTTCATTCAGAAGCCTCGAGAGAATTGTTTAATTAATTTAATTATCAATTATGGATGATACAAGTCCTGTTTATTGAAAGTAATAAAGCAATCCCATTCACTATCGTTCGAAAATGTATAACTATACAAGTTTCGAGTTTGTTTCAGCCGATGGACAGTGAGCTTAAACCCATAGTGGTTTATGGTAGCTCGTAATGCATGCTCAGGGAATTCACCGCGTATAGGAATGTCGTCTGAGGGCAACGATACACCATACATATCTGTATAGAGCGAAGGGAAAGCTTGGATGTAATGAGAGGAGATTTCGGCGGTTACGTTCAGGTGGAGAGAAATCTTTCGGATTTTTATGGTTTTAAATCTGGTCCGTGATACGAGTCATAAACGGGGTGGACATTTTATGGGACCTTATAACGTGTAATTGGGATTTATACCAAGGGCGATGGAATATACGTAAGCAGCTGTATAACGTAAGTACCTATGATATTTCCGCAATAACAAAGGATATAAAAATTTACGCTTCACGTTTGATAGCAAATATCCTAAACTGTGTGGCCTCGTCATTTTCTTTTCTATACAGAAATTATTTTGCATTTTGACATAGAAATAAATGAGGATTCTAAGAACATCATGGAAACTTTCCAGAAATGAACTTCTGTTATTATTTGCTTCGATTTCAATATCTCAAAAGAAAGAAAAAAAACAATCATTTTATTAATTAATGAAAATTTGTTCTTTAGAGCGTGAGAACTTTGATACGCTTTGGGTGATATTATTACTAACACTCTCCCCTCGGGACAAATTATCCACCTTCTGATAAGCAAATACTTCTGCTGGTATTTGCAAATGTAATTAGCGAAATGGAATGCCAGAGTGTATTTAATTATAATAAGTTTGCCCCTGTTAATTGAAAGTACTTGCGGTGTAATGAAATTTTTCCCGTCTTTTGTGCGTTCACAAAACACGGAAATTAAACGAGACATCAACGTTAAACAGAATTTAAAGGAACGAAAATGAACAGGACGGTACGCGATGCTAATGCGTCGGAGATTCTCGTTTTCGCGTGAAAGGTCACGATTCAGGGAATCAAATTTATGATATGGTTAAACAAATGGAGGTATAACGAAATGCTATTTGAAGATCTAGATATCAAAGCTGGTAGATAAAATTGCAAGGGACCATTCTTTTGTATATAGAATAACGCAAAAAATTAATTTATACGTGAAAAATTTAAGTTTGCAAATGATCTGATATTAGTACCCAATAATTTTCTGGATATTTCAAGAATCCTAGCAACCCGAATAAAACGCAAGGGATAAGGCAAAGCTATTCGCGATTCATGTGGAAGGATATCAATATTTTTTTAAACCATAAGCAGTGGAAATCCCTGGAAAGGAAGTACTTATGATGGGTTTACTGGTCTGCGGCTGTGTTTCTACAGAGATAGGGAAACAGAAAGCGAAAGAGCTTACCAAGTGACGTACGTTTAATGCCTAACCACCCCTTTCTACCGGACAACCCTTACGCGTAGAAATTATAGCACGAATACACGAAACTACTACTTCAAATTCTACGTCGTAATTTCGACCGATTCATGAATATCCCCATCTTCATCTTTAATCATCGTTCGAGGAGAAATCGAGAGGAGTATGGCTGAAAATTACTGGGCTGCATGATAATTTTCCTTTTGAAAGATGTCCGTTCTTGTTGTTTAATTAGTCGAATATTCAATGGGACGTGTATTTCCGTAAATTTAATGCACAAAGAATGACAAATTAGTCTCTTTCTACTGGCTGTACGCCAATTAGTTGATGAAAAATTTGCCATTTATACAGGTATCTGTTTGTTTGGCGTAATGGAATCTTCGGAACGAAATATTTGCAAATGTTTACCTTTCGTTATAGATACCATACTATGTATCGTTGCAAATTTTTAATTATTTCAAGTATGACCATAAATAGCAGATAAATTTTTAACATTTCGCTAATTATAAATAATTTTTAGAAAGAATGGTCTGTGATCGCAAAATTAATATTTCACAGTGATGAAAATCGCTAAAATATATCTCATTCAAACACAAAAGTCGAATGTGTTTATTCAAATAATGATAGCAGGTTTCAATTAATAGCACAAATATATATATATACAAGAAGAGTAACTAAATGTAGCCCAGATAAAAACTGTAGTTAGATGTTATAATGTGCGATAATAATTTTAAATAATTCCATGTTTCAACAAATGAACATTTTAATAAGTTCTATTATTTTTAATTACATATAACTACTTTCCTCTAGAAAATTCATGCTTTTTTAAATTCTATTTTGCGCTTATTGTGTTTATTGAAAATATATTTTAGCATATCAGTAATATCAATTTACATACGAGAAAAAAAATGGGAATTGTTAAGTACTCACTGCTGGTGTCTTGTTTTGGTTGGTTTCCCGGAGACGTCACCCAGTTAACTTTCATCTCCTGAAACATGTATAATAAAAGAAATTAATAATATATTTGTATCTGCAAGAAATAAAGCGAAAATAAATTACATTTCTCTTGTATTTGTTTAAAGAAATAGCTCTTTTCATAAACAAATGTTTATCGTAACAGTAAGTTGTAATTATTATTTTTTAATATCCTGGGCAGTTAATAAAGTTACTTCATTCTTTTAATATTGAAAAAAGAAATAACTTTAATCTTTAATTTCAGAGTTTTAATTAACTTTGTAACGATTTTTCTTTGCAAATGTTCGTCACATCTGTAAGTCATAACCATTACTTTTATAGCACTCTGTACAGTAATTAAAGCTCCTTGGTTCGTAAAATTTTAAATTTCTAAAGCCTCATAACTTGTACATCATTTTTTTTAAAAATTATATGAATTTTTATTTTAAAAGCGTAAGTGGAAAATTATTTCTCTAACAAGAGTTAATAAAATAATATACAATTATTGAAATTAAAACTACACAAATTTACAAAAATATATTACATTTATAATATAATAAGATTATAACAAAGATTTATTCAAAAAAAAGCGTAGTATAAGAAGGTAATATACCGAAGACAAACAGATTTTGAAGTTTGTATTTCGCGCGGTTGCCGGTAGGTTGTGATTGGACGACGACATTGCTCGAAATCGGCACGCGAACAGGATTTCGACCGAAACAGGTCGTCAGTCGTTCGTGAGTCGTGTACCGTAAAGGTTTAGTTCTGTGCATGAGTGAATGGTTCAAAGACTTTCGGTGAGACAGTAAACAAACTCGTCGAATGATATCATCAAGAGGATAGTGTTTGGAACTTACGCAGGAGCAATAACCTCTGAAAGTTGACTGACGCCATGGCAGGGCATCTGATTTCGGTGAGTACACACTGTATTAACAAAAGTAAATTCTATTTATATAGAATCAGGATTCTATCATTTGCAAACACGTTTCTTTAATTTCTTGTTAATTCTCTACATATTTGTGTGACATTGAAGAAACAAATTTTTACTAACCTTTGTTCTTGTTACTCTCGTGTGGAACGAATATATTCAACTAACAAAGTTTACACGAAAAATTCAATTTACACTATTAAACTAGATAGATAATTACGTATAAATAGATATTTACACTAGTTCAAAGGTTTGATTTGAGTAATAATTTCGTCTTTCTAATAACTTGCACGACGCGAGTGCAAAGAACCGATCGCGTAGAATGACGCTCGAATTTAGCGCATGCGCAGTTCAATATTCCAACATGGCGTCCATTTAGTACATTTTTAAATTACTGCGCAGTATTTAAATTTATATGGGACTCATATTATTCATTTTTTTAAATGAAGAACAGAGCTAACCATTATTCTATTCGATAAATATATTATAATTATTAGAGTATTTTTAATAAAAGACACTAGATCTTTTAAAAATGGAATAATTAGTTAATAAATTATTAAATATTAGATTTCCATTTCGGATTGATTTCACATGGAATTGAATGGGGTTAAATCAATATGTTACTAAAATTATAAAATCGCTGACCAAGTTAGGGCAGTTTACAATTGGACGTCGGTGAACTGATCGCGAAACAATCCCAAGCATCATTTCATATTTCGGCACGTAAAATTTTGGCATAAAAGATCGCAGTAAAAGAGGAAAAGGGATCGGTTTTCTAGGGATTCAAGACAAAACACAAGTATACGATCAAATTTATATCGTTCGGTTCGCAAGTCAGACACCTTAAAACGGTTTGGCTGATAAAGCAGCTACGGTTTCTGGTTGTACGAACGAAATCTTGCTGAGAGACGAGCAATTCCGTTTATAGAGAATCGGGTTGGTCTTTACTCGCGAAGACGGCTGGTAATCCGTAGCAACAGGAAGCGGTATCACCGCCAAAAAGACGTCGGCTGGCGGAAATGGGACGTGTCGGGGTGTCGTCGGGTCCTAACAGATCCCATAAACTGGATTCTTTATGCATCGCGATGTACCTAGCCGTGACGTTGCAGATACTCGGAAGATAGTAAAAGTCATTTCGTTAAAACCACTTGCAGGGATGGGAAAGGATGTAGTTCGAAAGTAGTTACGGCTTCTTTTTATCATGTTCAATTTCACATAGTGACAGAAATTATTAGTTAATAAATCAGTTACTAATTAATAAATAAGGAAATATAAATGGACTATAGGCATTCAATATTCATATTTTAAAATAACAAAGATACGATAGAAATTTTCAATAACAATTTGAAACAATCCCTTTTGCAAAATTAAAAGCTACGGATTATGGTTACACGGTTTATTTTATCGGACGATTATTGTTATTACATCATTATTAATTCACATTTAATACATCAGTGAAGGTAAAACGCGAAACATTTAACTGCATTGATTTTTAAACGTATTTAATTAATAAAATTATTACTACCGAATTAATTATTGTCGCATTTAATACATGTTCTGTATTTAATGCAGTTGAATGATTAATTTTCCGTATGTACTTTACAAGCTGGGTATTATTCAATTTTAAATAAAGTGGTCGTTTATAATAAACGATATATTGAATATATATTTGTATTAATTATCATTATAAACTCTTGTCATTTTCAATGTAATAGTACAATATTGGTTAAAGATATGGAATCACTGCTTAATGAAATTGCAAAGTGGGATTTTTCAAATTTCTAAAGCCTCTAATTATCAACTTGAAATGAAACTTTTATTGTGAAATGAAATCTAGTAAGGGTGCAGTGTATAAGTAAAGGGGTGGAATAATGGTGAAACCAGTGATATCGTAAAATCTTGTTAGCACTACTGTAGACAGACTTAATGGAAAAATGGTGTCATCCATGCGACCATACATCGTCGACCGTATCAGTAGTGTTAATTCGGTACACGCGACGCGTGTGCTGTTGATATTGAATCGTTACTTCTCATTTTCTTAGTCGTCTATGTTGATGACTTTGACATTCTTCGCATAGTGTATATCCTGAAAACTTCTTGAAACAGTTGGATGGAAGATATTTAGACGTTGAGTGAATTATTCTAACTAACTAGTTAATAATTAGCTATTTGTGTAATTATGTTAATAGCCGACATTCTTAATTAACAGCTGAATAAAAAATGCTTAGGTGTGGAGTGAAATATTTTTAATAATTGTAGAGATATTCAATAACTTTATGTATTAATGTCGAAGGAACAATATTTCACTTCCCTCTTAATATTCATTCGGAAACTGATATTGTAAAAGTTCAATTAATATGGTAATAAGAAATACATAGACAGAAACAGTTTCCTCTTCTTACGGTTCTATGAACCTTTATATTCTTTATTCTCTTGAGGCTATCAAATGTTGTTTTAACAGAAACGTTCTTGATACAAAATGTGTACACTATTTGGAATCACAAAAAATATAAAGGGTAATAATTCAAATAAGTAGCTGTAATTTCTTAAATAATTCTATTTTACTTGGCTGACTATTGATTATCTTCTATTGTTTATTTTCCATTCCATGTTTTCCAAGGAAAACAGTATCTTCCGTCAGAATGTGTGCTCGTGAATTGCGGCTTTCTTCTTTAATTGAAATTAATTCTATAACGGAGTTCTTCTTTTCCATTCAATTTCCAAATTGCCTATTTTCCGGCATTATCCTTTGAAGAACAATATTTTAACGTCATATCCGTTGATGTTCTTTTTACTATCGCCTGCGGGAAACGATGCTAACTACGCTCTTCGGAGTTTGATATAATCAAACGATAATTGAACCGAATTGTAATGAAAAGTGCAAACGGAAGCAAAATACTGTGCTCGATAAAGCGTTTGCGCCGACGAGATGCTTTGTTCGATTACCAGCACGCCGCAGCTTTGTGAAATACTTTATAGATTATATACGTATGTAGGTACATGTTTCGCGTATAGGAAAAGGAAGCTACACCTAACTGGCACAATAAACGACGTTAATACTCTTTGCTGTTATCCTTATTAACGATCTGTATATCGTTTGCTTTATTAACCATTAATTATTCAATTGTAAAGAAAATTAGGTACAGCAACTGGAACAGTGCATACGATAATTAAATATGTAATACATCGGTTCGTCACATAATTTATTCGCGTTTTTATTTTACATTTTAATAACGTTTTCATTTTCGTTGATTTGTTTTCAATCGTTGAATTTTTTACCTACTTTTCGTACGTCTCGTTGCACAGGTTCCATTAATTGGTATTCAAATTGGTATTAATTGGTAGTCAATTGATGATTTCGATCATTGTCGAAAATGTAATGTTAGACTGAGTAGGGAGGAAATTCTGCCGACATTTTCTCGCGCAAAAGCAATGTTTGGATAGTACTTGAAAAATGGCACAGACCACAGTAGCTGAATACTGTAATAACAGAAAACTTATGTTCTCTACCAAACCGATATCCGGCCGTTGTCGAATGAAGTATAAAAGGAACGGAGAAAAGTATTCGGTCCTTTTAAACCCACATGAAAAATTTGCCCGGTAAAAAAAAAACTGAAATTTAACTGCATTTAACATGGTCCGCCTTTAATCAACGCTACCAATTTAATTTGGTCGGATAATCAAAAAATGACAAAGGAAAGAGATTCTGGAAATTTTAAGCTGCAAATTAATGGGTTAAATTAACCTATTTATTCTTAGAAGTTGAAAATATATTATTTCCAAGATATTATTTTTAGTGAAGTGAATAAAGATAAAGATAAAATTTAGATAATCATGACTAATTATAAAAAATTATAGTTATTCAGAATCTAAACATCACGAACATAATATCATTAATACTTACCGCCCACATTTATAAAAAGGCACGTGCACCCAACGTTTAAACGCATTTTCGTCGATACAGCCGAATGAATAATTCATTTCCTCGTCTGTTGGAAATTATAAGTCGATAATCGGATCAACTGCCATAAAATCAGGTGAACACCGTTGCGCGATAATCTCTTCCTTTGTTGAAGCCGAGTTTCAGTTGTGCGTGTTCAGCTTAA